TATTTACCTCTTGAATGCAAGATCCAGCAATCAACATATCGTCCACATATAGAAGTAAAATAATGAAACTATTATCAGACCTCTTCACATAGCAACAATGATCTGCTTGACATCGTAAGAAGCCAATATTGTGTATGAAGCCATCAAATTTCTTATACCATTGTCTTGGGGCCTGTTTCAAACCATACAAGCTCTTTCGCAGCTTACACACAAGCTCATTTTTACTATCAGATATGAAACCTTGTGGTTGCTTCATGTAAATCTCTTCCTCCAGATCACCGTGGAGGAACGCCGTTTTTACATCCATCTGCTCTAGGTACAATTTCTCAGCAGCCACAATTCCCAGAACTAATCTGATGGTAGTTAACTTCACTACAGGTGAGAAGATTTCTGTGTAATCAACATCTTCCTTTTGTTGAAAACCTTTTACAACTAACCTGGCCTTAAAGCGTTTGCTACCATCAATTTCTTCTTTTATCCTGTAGACCCATTTATTATGTAAGGCCTTTTTGCCTTTAGGGAGCTCTGTTAATTCCCATGTCATGTTTGACATTAGAGAATCCATTTCATCTTGCATAGCCAACTCCCACTTACTTGCATCCTCTGTTTGCAAAGCTTCATCATAACTCTCAGGTTCACCACCATCTGTTAATAGCAGATAATGAAGTGATGGTGAATATCTTTGTGGAACTCTGTGTTGTCTGGTTGACCTTCTAGGTTCAGTGACTGGTGTGCTAAGTTCTACTTGTGGACTTGCTACTTCCTGACTGTTTGGAGTACTCCCCTTTGTATCAGAGTCAGTAATATCTTCTAACTCTATATATTCAGAGCCTTTAACTTGGGTACTTGCACTGTCAAAATCTACTGCTCCAAATCTATCTTTGTACATAACCTGCTCATTGAATATGACATCTTTACTTCGAATTATCTTCCGATTCTGATCATCCCAAAATCGATACCCAAATTCATCACCACCGTACCCAATGAAGGTGCACTTCACAGACTTAGCATCAAGCTTATTCCTAGCAGTAGAATCTATGTGCACATAAGAGACACATCCAAAGATTTTTAGAAAAGAAAGATTTACCTCCTTTCCACTCCAAACCTCCTCTGGTATACGTTCATTCAAAGGTACAGAAGGTCCTCGGTTAACAAGAAAGGCTGCAGTGTTAACTGTATCAGCCCAAAACATCTGAGGTAACCCAGCATGAATCCTCAAACATCTAGCCCTCTCATTAAGAGTTCTGTTCATACGTTCTGCAACTCCATTCTGCTGAGGAGTTCCCTTGATGGTTTTCTCCATTCTAATTCCATTGACGGCACAATATTCCTTAAACTCTGTAAGATTGTACTCTCCTCCATTATCAAATCGCAAGCGTTTCAGCTTCAAACCCGTTTCATTTTCTACCAAGGATTTCCATTTCTTGAAGGTATTAAAAGCATCAGATTTATTTTTCAGAAAATAAACCCATACCTTCCTTGTCGAATCATCAATGAAGGTAATATAATAGGATGAGCCACCAAGGGATTGAACTGGAGCAGGTCCCCACAAATCAGTGTAAACTAGCTCTAACCTTTCTGTCTTCAGTGTTCTGCCACTCTTTAAGAATCCCACCTTTTTCTGTTTACCATAAATGCAGTCTTCACAGAGACCAATATCGACAGATTTAAGTCCTGGCAGTTTGCCTTTTGAACAGAGTACCTTCATTCCTTTCTCGCTCATGTGGCCAAGTCTGCGATGCCACAAATCTGAATCTGCTTCTTTATTTGCAACAGCAACAGTATCTCGGATGCTGGTAGTCATATAGAGTGTGCCTGTCTTTCTCCCACGAGCCACCGTCATGGCACCTCTGGAGATTTTCCACAATCCACCCATGAAGGATACTGCATATCCTTCAGCATCAAGTTGCCCAATAGAAATTAGATTTCTCTTCAAACCCTGAATGTGCCTCACATTCTGCACTACCCAAACACCTCTGCTAGAGGTCTTGATCCGAACATCTCCCTATCCCACAACACTCAAAGGTTCATCATCAGCCAAGTAAACCTTTCCAAAATCACCACTAACATAGTTTTCCATGATTTCCTTATGTGGGCAGGAATGAAACGATGCTCCTGAATCCAATACCCATGATTGAAACGGGCTGTCCACACTGAGAATAAGAGCATCACTGATCTCTTCGGTAACATTCACAGTTTGCTTGTCTTCACTTTTGTCAAACTTCTTCTTTGGTGCTCGACATTCATGTTTGAAATGTCCATGTTTTCCACAGTTCCAACACCCTGATGAACCCCTGAATTTTGACTTGCTTCTATGTTTGGATTTTGATCTAGCATGATTAAATTTTCTGTCTATCGTTCTGCCTCTGCTCTCTGCGTTCCTGCCTCTGCTCTCTGTGTTCAAGGCTGATCCTAATGTTTGGCTCAATTCTCTTCTGCGAACATCCTCACTTAGAATTAGATCACGCACGTCATTGACATTTAATTTCATTTTTCCTACAGACCCGCTCACTGCCGTTACAGTGCCATTCCAGCTTTCTGGCAGAGATGAAAGGAGAATTAAGGCCCTGATTTTGTCCTCGAAATTAATATCCACAGAACTTAATTGAGTTGTGACAGTGTTGAACTCGTTTAGATGTTCTGTCACAGAGTTACCTTCTTCCATTCTCAAATTGAATAGACGTCGCATTAGATATACCTTATTACAGGCAGAGGGTTTCTCATACATAACTTTACCATTGAAGTGTAAGAG